GTATCTCTTCACATCCATGCTTGATCAGCGTATGTCGTCCAACACAAACGGCCCACAAGCTGTCAAACGTCTCAATTATACCCCCGCTTGAAAAGCAAACAAACACTCACTTCAACATTGCAAACTGCCGTTTCGCCTCAATCACAAACTTCAACACGCGCGGATGGCCAACGCGCCCCTCTGCTCCGTACAGCCAGCCCACAAGCGCCTGCATCTCCGACGGGTCAAAGTCCCGCCCTCCAATTGCCAGCAGCTCGGCCGGGCACTCCATGCGCTGCATGATGCCGTGCAAAGTTTGACTGCGTGACACAGACGCGACCAAGGCCCGGATGGTCTCGCGGTTGCGCTGGCCACAGGCCCGCCCCGTGCACTCCACCACTTGCTCACCTCCAATCTTCTGCGGCCTCCAACACCGGTAGCAAACACCCGCCCTCAAGGTCACTTGGCAATTACTACTACCATGACCGCGGCAGTGGCATCGAAAACAGCGCCCTTTCATGGCCGGGCAGCTAGAAGGCTGGTGGTGAGCAACCAAGCGGTCTCTGCTGCAGCTGCAGGCCCAGCAGTAGGTGCACATCCATAGCAGAGCCGTGTTAAAGTCGTCTGACTGAATGGGCGCCGATGGTACCATCAACTGTGCTCGTTTGGCCCGCGTCTGGCCCTCGTGTGATACTGGCGCCCCATGTGCTTCACGGCTTGGATGGCGCGCTGTGATGGTCGGTTGCATCATGGAGCACACATTACAAGCCGGCGCTCCTGCGGCTGCACAAATGTGGCCCTCACCATCCAGCAGCCAACCAAGCTCAAAGGTCAGGCAGCGCTTCATGCTTGCAAATGGCCGCAGGTCTTCCGAAACCGCTGTGCCTCGTGGAATCCATAGCGTGGCCTCGCCACCCCGTCGGTCGCGGCCAGCCCGGCCAAAGGCCTGCGACAAGGTATAGCCGTTGTAGCCGCTACCAAACCAGATCACCTTCCGAACGTTGGGCATGTCCAAGCCCGCGCCCAAGCAGCTTGTGGCCACCAAGACCAGACTCTGCGTGCCGCTCCTCCACTGCTCAAGAGCCGCTCGTGTGTCTTCGGCTGACATGTCAGCATCCACGGCCAGCGACTGCTTGTGACCCAACGTGCGTGCCAACTGAGTCGACAATGCCTCAACCTGCTTCTTCGTGTCACAAAAAATCAGCATGCGATCCACGCGGCCCTCTCGCTCCAACATGTCGTAGTGGTGTTCCACAAACTTCTCAAATGACTTTGTTGATCCTTGTTGCACCCCTAGCCGAAGATCGGTTCGCATAGTTGGCATACGAAAGGTCTGGTACGAAGCGTCCTCCTTGCAATCCAGCTGTTGGAGCAGAGCCCGCTCATCTTTGGGACAAAGCGTGCCAGTGAGGCCCACACACTTGACCGATGGGTCTTGGCGAAGATGGTCCAAACGACCTGGGCAGCGAACAAGGCTGTCTCGATAGCTGGTGCACGAGCATTGTGTGAAGAAGAAAAAAGCTATAAATTTTTTTCTGCTCTATCTCCTAGGTATTTTTCTGCTATTGATCTCAATTAAATGCATAGCGCTTGGACCAGGCAAGCACGAACACAAATGAAATGATACAAGACTTTCTGACGGCAGTGATCTCACCAGCTGCACATATCTCAAGAATCTTACATGACTTTGCTCGAGCTAGCTCTCACGGTGTTTTTTTTTTTTTTTCCACTTGCCTATCATTGCTTCCCTCCGATCCAGCAGCTGTCTGCTCAAACCCATGAGTGAACATACTGGACACTGTCTGTGTCGTTTAAATTGCAATCATTCATGTTTCAAGTGACATGTGAATCAGAATCTTCAAGTCGATTGTCAGCAACATCTTAGAGCAAAGAAGGCGATAAAGATCTTGTTCCCCGAGCTAGTCCTCTGGTCTTTCGCGGCGTTCTTGCGGACGAGCTGGGCAAAGTTCTCAGCGCCGCCGAAGGTGTCTTTTTAACATGTGGCAGGAGTGCTGTGGAAGCGTGGGGCACTGGCAGGCCATTCGCGCTCGACGACTGCATGGCAATCATGCTCATTCTGGGAACCGGAAGGCTGTCTGGCTTTGGATATCGACTGCAAAGTGCTCGAGTCACTGCATTTACGCCCCCCTCACAGACTGGCCTAGCTTCCTGCGGAGCTCTGACTATCACATCTTCAGTGCTTGGATCAAATCGTTGCAACAATGATGGAACAGGTGTAGCCTGCTCCATCGCATCAGGTGCAGGTAGCTCCGGCGCAGCAGGTATGGGCACCTCCGGCGCACCAGGTGTAGCAAGTTCCAGCGCCACAAATGTAGGCAGCTCCAGCGCAGCAGACACTTTAGGTGTAGACTGCTCCATCGCCTCAAGTCTTGCCTGCTCTGGCGCCTCAGGTATGGGCAGCTCCATCGCCTCAAGTCTCGGCAGCTCTGGCGTACCAGATGCAGTACGTTCCATCGCCTCAAGTCTCGGCAGCTCTGGCGTACCAGGTGCAGTACGTTCCAGCGCCTCAGGTGCAGCCTGCTCCAGCGCAGCAAGTGCAGGCAGCTCCGGTGCAGCAGGTGTGACCTGCTGCATCGCATCAGGTGTAGGTAGCTCGATCGCCTCAGGTGTAGGCACCTCCAGCGCTTTAGGTGTAGCCTGCTTCATCGCCTCAAGTCTCGGCAGCTCTGGCGTACCAGGTGCAGCACGTTCCAGTACCGCAGGTGTCGACAGCTCCAGCGCATTAAGTGTAGGCAGCTCAGGAAACTCGGGCGTCTCAGATGTAGCCTGCTCCATCGCCTCAGGTGTAGG